CCACCATCAGCCTATAATGCTGAGTCACACACGTCACGTGCTACGGTCCTGCAGGTAGAACTGACGGACTGATGGGTTTCCCACAGGCCAACAGTCCAAACGATTGGCCGGCCGGCCGCACCACACACGTCAGTTTTGCTTTCAGTCTTCAACTGTGCAGGCCGGACTGGAAGCCAAACTGTGTGTGTATGGGGGCCCTAACGCTTGGCTGCCTGGAACGTGAAATCTCGAAGATAAAAATAAGTGTTATCAGATAACTACTAGCAATCACGAATCAAGAATTAATTTTATATGTTATAATTACAGTAATCTTGAGAGTGGTATAAAATGTACAAATTTTAACAAAATTTTTTATTAGGAAGAGAGACTCTCTGAATTTACTGTGATGAGTATACTGAAGAAAATGACTGGCCGGATGGAGAGTGAGGAAAGTTTAGAGTCACTGAGCTAGAATATTATTCACGGCAACAGAATGCTGAAAATTACGACACTATCATCCTGAGCCCTTCAGATGAACAAGTGAAGAAGTAACGGCGCCATATTCTCTAGCCAGGCGATAGGCCGGAGTGATCCCTCCCTTACGGAGTGAGTGGGGAAGAGTAGAAGGGAGTTGGGTAAATATTCGCAACTGGCGAGTCTACCCTCACGAGACTGGGGGAGTTAAGAGTTACTTCAGAGAACACATATGTTACAGAACATGAACACACTGCAGAAACTCACTCCTGCAGAAGGAAGAGAGAACGTAGGAGTCATACTGCGATAATGGTTAAATGTATCATCTAAATGATGAATAAAACACACACATTCACACAAGCTTAATGCTATACCGTACAGAAAAGACGGTCTGCTTCTGCACTTAAAACAATAGCACAGTATCACCACATTTGGTTAGTCTTAAGTTCGATTACAGCCGGTCACGGTAGTCGAGCGCCCTAAGGCATGTACTGTCTTGGCTCGCTTGGAAACCGGGATCGTGGGTTCGAATCCCACTCAGGGCATGGATATTTAGTTTGTGTGTGTCCGTTTTTCTGTGTTTTTGTACAGGTAGAGACCTTGTTACGAGCTGATCACCCGCCCGAGGAGTCTTACCGAATATGTAAGATCTAGAAAAACCGAAGTGAACGGAGAAGTTCATGGAGGTAGGCCTAGGTCCACTGGGGCTGTAGTGCCAAGGAAAAAAAAAGTTCGGTTACATGATGGGCAGTTAGAGGTTTGCTACATCTATCTATCTGTGTCTGTCTATCTACCTTATATAAATCTATGGCACTAGAGCCCTTCGTTGGGCCTTGGCCGCTTTTTCAGTTTCTTGATCTTTTACACAGTCGTAAGACTCCTTGGACCGGGGGTTGAGACTGTCACAATGCCATTACCCGCAGAGAGAACAGCACAAACAGAATGAAGGCACACAGACATCCATGGCTCAAATGGGATTCAAACCCAAGATCCCAGTGTCTGAGCGCGCGAAGACGGTTCATGCCTTAGACTGGGCGGCTACTGTGATCGGCAGAGGTTCGCAACATGCTTGCAGGAAGTGTCACGATACTGCCACTGACATAGGCTTCGGTATTCTCTCCTTGTTCGCCGACCACGTGTCAGTGCCAGCCTGTGTCGTCCCTCGCTTCCCGTTCTCAGCCGAAGTCCTTTCTGTATCATTGGCTTGTCTGCATCATTTAATCGGGTTTTCTCAAGACCACGAATATTTTCCCCGCCAGCTGAACACTTCGTCCTCAAGATCGACCGAGATTTCTGCCTTCCTGGAGAACTTCATTTCCATGTTTTACTTGAACTTGTCGAAGATATTCAAGCAAATTTGTTTGAGCTGTGCAGAATGTAGCTTCATATGCCTTCACAATAATCCGAACACACATCATCGTAAAATTCTACAGTTCAAATATCCACGAAGCCAAATTTTCTGTTTTACTATTTTACTGCTATAATACCTTCATCTTTTTAATTAATTTCTTAGCTCCTTTATGCTTTCTTTACAAATTAGAAGAAGAAGGCGTAACGTGGAGGCCATATGTGTCTGTCTGTCTTTCCACGGACACTTCCAACTGTCACCGAGTATCGTGGCCTAACCAGTCGAAGAGATTTTCTTAAAATTCTGTATGGTAATTTCTTCAGTATTAAGTTGGCAGCCCTGATTTTCAGTCATACTGATTGTAATAAATCCGCGCTTACATATGAACATAAATAGAGCTTCCAAATATTTTGTTCACCCCTCCACAAACTGTGTTAAAACTGAGTGTGGGGAAGTTTGCACTGCACTTTACCCGACTATTCCGTTTTCAAACAAATTATATCACAATAAAGCCTGCTTTACATAACGCTCTAAATGGACCTTTCCATATATTCCATAAAATCCTTGTTGAAAGTCGATATGAGAAATTTCCACTAGTTTTAGTTTAATTATTCCCAATTGTAAGCTTAATAAACTAGAAATAGCGCCTGTGGTATTTGCGCATACTACATTATGGAGCACACTCCTTTTCGAAAGTGTTAATTTATGAGCTATCATCGCCTAATTAAACTCACAGTCACTCATATTCTTACCCTGCCTTCCATCCAAAAGTGGAATTAGCTTGGGTACTTGGTTTGCTTACTCAAAGCTTTGTGTGTAAACGAGTAGCATTACGATTCAGGGGTCATTTGCCGGACGACGATTCCATAAACGTCTACCTCTGGCGATAGGCAGCGCCACTGTCGATGCTTGTGTTCCCTTGAGCCTGCGCGCTTTCGCTTCCACGCAGAATTCAGAGGACACACCAACTTTCTGATGCAGTAGAAGAAGCAGATAGATCATTTTACACCAGTTCCTCGCCTTATGAATGAGAGCAGGGGAAGGTTCTTTGTGCTTCTGCAGTATGAGAAGAGGTAACTGCAGCTGGGAGTAGCTGATCAGCGTCCTGCACTCGACGTTCGGATGGGAGACTCACTGACTGGCTACCCTAGGAATTTCTGAATGTTTTGTTGTCCTTCATCCTTTAGAGTCGATCAGGAATGAGCGATTAACGTTACCCCACCGTCAGCTATTGGATTGTAACTAACGTAAAGTCTGATGAATGTATTAAGGGTCTCTGTCCCTAGAGAATTGTACGATTATCTATATATGGCTCTACAGCCCTTCGTTGGACTTTGGTCACTTTTCACTTTCTTGATTTTTCTACACAGTCGGTAGGACTCCTTGGACAGGGGATGAGCTGCTTGCAAGACCGCTACCGCCTTGAGGGATTGGGTTTACTTTTCTTGATGCAACAAAATATAATGACATGAAGAACAATACCAGTGTACTGTGTATTGTTTTGCCTCGATAAAATATATAGTAGCACCGATGTTGCTTATTCCATCCTCAATATACAGTAAAACCTTTTGCAATGGAACTGAAACCCGTTTCGTTTCAGGCAGAAAATGGATTAACACATATAGTATAACATGTGTAATATCTTACACTATACATGTTACGATTGGCAGGACATATAGCAAGAATGGGAAGAACAGGAATGCATGTAGGATATTGGTGGGAAAGTCAGAAGGAAAGAGACCATTGGGAAGACAAAGTTGTAGGTGGGTGGACAATATTAAAATGAATCTTAGAGGGATAGGATGGGATGGTATGGATTGCATCGATCTGTCCCAGGATAGGGACTAGTGGAGGACCCTTGTGTACACGGTAATGAACCGTCGGGTTCCATAAAACGCTTGGAAATTCTTGAGTGGCTGCACAGTTGGCGGCTTCTCCAGAAGGGCTTAGCTCCTTTAATGAGTGATATACGTTACGATTAAAATGAATAGTAGCTGGTGATCACACGAAATCACCGCCAAAGAATTATATGTAAGAGGCTGTTATTACTCATAATTGCAAGTCAGTTACTATGACCATAACACGAACATAATGTAGGTATTTATTTAGGAGAGTGACACAAATCGAAACCGACAGAAGTTTTGACCCTGTCAGTGAAGTGTCCTGTCTAAATCCCTACAGGGACGTAGGCTCTCCTGGTAAGTATTTCGTTGTTTTCCCGGTCCCTTGAACAAAATGACTCCAACTACATCTAGAAAGTTTCCTTCCACAATCTTCAAGATTTACTGTTAATCATCATATTAAGACCCGACGCTGCATAAATATAAATGCCATCATAATTGTCAGTTACGCCTAAATTCGTAAAATACGAATTCAAACCGAAAATTACGGGCATATATCGAACTGTTACCGACGAGAACGCGTCTGAGATATTTTCTATTTCTATTTTTAGTTCGTTATCACTCTTCTGAATGACGTTTTCAAATACTGAACTCATATTACGAGTATGTCGAAACTCACGCTTAATCCTTCCTCATTTGCAACGGGAACTTACTCAGACATGTTCCAGAGAGCAAAGAAAGTGTTAAAACGATATATCTTCCTTTGAAATAATTTTTTTTTGCACTCTGGTTTGCCACTTTAAGCAATTTCCTTCTTTATAGAAGCCCTTATACCGAAAAGTACGATTATACGGCTGTAAACTGTTAAGTTCGGTGAAGTGGACATCGGTCACAGTGCACTGCTAAGAACCAAGAACACAGTATTCTCATAGTCGCCACTGTAAGAACCTCCAACCTCGTAATGCTTTCAGTTTTCGGCACCCCCGAAATTTTCATAAATTAACTCTGTGTAACAACTTCGAATGTCGACTTCCACTGCGCAGGTTTGTGTATTGGTGACGCTGCAGACGTGTGCGGTTCGTATTTTGGCCTGGGCACAGCTGTTCTGAGTAATCTCTCGCGTTTTCCTCAGTTCTTCCTGGAAAATATTGAGATCACGACCGTTTTCTTCCAAATTCTTTTCATTTCATCAAATAAGCCACCATTCGAAGCTGTATAGACTGTAAACTGACACTGTCGTGAAATAAACCAAAACATTATAGACTTCCAGTAAGAAATTTAATCAGAATCTATCGAGCGACGATGAAAGTAGAGTAGAGATGGAAGTTCAGGTATGATATCCGCCACTTCCGTTGCAGGTGGGGTGGCTCAAGGCGGAGGACCAGACAGTCCTGAGCCTTCACAACAAGGTCGTGACGCAGAATTCACGGATCAGCGTGACACACGACAATCACCGCACGTGGCAGCTGCACATCCGTCAAGTGAAGGAGTCCGACCGTGGTTGCTACATGTGTCAGATCAACACCAGTATCATGAAGAAGCAAGTGGTCTGCGTTGACGTGCACGGTGAGTACCTGACTGCTTTCACAGCTCTGAGCTTTTCTTTGCGATGTTGAGTAAGCGATGAATACTGGTTAGAAAGAAACCTCAGACGTTTCGTCAAATGAAGGAATCATAGTAGCGACGAGGCTGTAATCACGCTCGGGATTTTATTCGCCAAGTTATGAACAGCAATGGAAGTGACAGAACACAATCGAATCCAGCGAGGGAAGGAATTTCTGTCTGAGTGAGGGTTAAGGTTTTCACGGCGATAAACTTTTAATCGCGATATTATTGGTTAGATAAACGTTCACACTTACTGGCGAAGGTAGAAATTTATTTCGGAGATTTTATGATTGTAAGGCGTTGCATCTCGGGAGGTCATAGTCCGAAATTGTGGTCAGAGGTTCAAGTCCGATAATTCACGGGATCCTCCTATTGTAAGGACATTTCCGTCTGCTCTTTTATTGTATTTATGACTAGTGCCCGTGACTTACTCAAAGAACAGGGTACACAATTTCTTCTCCTATTAATTCCAACATCTGTTGGACCGCATCTGTGGTCTAGTGGTCAGCGTTCCTGGCTACAGACTTTTTCGGAGAAGTGGGTCTGGAACAAGGCCCACTCAGCCTCGTGATGATAATTGAGGAGCTATTTCAATGAAATAGCGGCTCCGGTCTAGAAATCAGAAATTAACGGCCGTGGGGATTCGTTGCGCTGACCACGCGACACCCTCTATATGCAAAAATTGGCATTAAACTTCGCCGACAAGCGGCGGTCGCTCGGTCGGTATGGCTCACTTGCGGACTGAAATCAAGGAGTTCTTTGTTTTGTTATTGTCCTCATGTAACTTTCATGTAATACCTAAATATTATTTACGGCGCAAATCTCGTTTTAGAAAAATTCTAAATGCAATCGTCGTATGGATGCTGGTTGCACGAAGTTAACGTCAAACAATATAATATTATTTAATGGAGACAGTGGAGGGTGGGAAGTTAGAAATTGAACTCCATAGAGCAGAATATGTCATAAGAGAATGAGAGTTGCTTAGCTAGCCAAGAGGCCGATTCTTATGAGACCTGAAAGTTTGTTACCGTAGTTTCTGCATCCCGCCACTGGACCTTATCCAGATGAATCCATCCCACACATTAAACCCTATTTACTTAATATCAGTTTTAATATTATACTAAAGTCGATGTTTTCTACGGACCAGGATATGCAATGCTTCCTGTAGGGAAGCTCAAAGAAGAAATTTCCTGTAATTATGTTTGAATTTCTCGCCGACGCATGAATATCGGATGTACGTTGAAAATATATTTTTTCTAATGACGACGTAGGCTTAATGGTCTACGTCACCACTTGTCGATAACGCAACCTTGTTTCCGTGTTGGATGTAGTATACAGTATGCTAGTCCCATGGGTCTGCAAAATGGCTTAATCCATTCAGATTTTCCGACCAAAATATTATGTGCATTTGTAATGTAATGTTCCCTATTTGCCTCGCCCACCCTTACTGTCTTGCAAGATTGTTATGTAACGAGGCTGTCAGTGTCGAGAATATTAACGTTGATGCAACCTTCTTCATCTGAACACTCTCATAATGTTTCATTTGAGAATGCATATTATGAAACTCCTCCCATTATTTCCTCTCTGGGCCCAAATAGTCTCCCCAGCACCCTGTTCTCAAACAGCCTCATTCCGAGATCTTCGCTTAGGATGGGAGACAACGTCCCATACCCATCAACGAAACAACAAAAATTGTATTAGATTTGAGGTTTCACGGCTGTGTCTATGAAGAATGCCTTCTTCTGGGATGTAGCGCCGTGTAAATATAGTGTAAACCGATGTTTCGGAGGAGCGTATTGCCTCCATCTTCAGTGTACAAAAAGGAAAAATCCGCGAGCGAGGAACCAGCGTGAACAGGTGGTTTGCAGACTGCTCTAGCTGAATTTTTATAGCCTGAATATGTAGGCGATACCTTCCTCCGAAACGTCGATTTACACCATATGTACACAGCGCCACATCCCAGAAGACGACATTCTTCAAGCAAAAATATAGTTTTGTATAATTAAATCTTTACATTTTTAGACCCCAATCCGGGGTTTAGAATCTCTTAATAAAAATATATTTCAGTACAGAGATCTATAAATCAATTTCGCCTTTAATACAAATGATACCTGCTTCATTTAAATTCTTTTAAGAAGTTCCAATGTGTTCCAACTAATTCCTTTAATGTTGCTGGGCATTCAACACCTAAACCGACCAAGAAGGAATTGCCCTTTGTATAGACCTTAAAGAATAATGCCAGATATTGACAACAGGATTTATTTGTCGATCAGATATCATTTCTAGGCTCTCTGTTACTTAGCATTTACTTCATACCGAAATGTTGACGACTTTACATTCAATAAATATAATCACCGCATGAAAACTTCAAAGACTGAATTTCTTCCGAGGCATATCCAACCGTTTAGGTCGTAACTCACCGGAAACGCATCACGTCTCGACTACAAAGCCCAACCGGTTAATGCTGTGTAGGGAAACACTAGCTGTTTATTTTGAGAACCATACTTTACATACAAACATATTTTGTGGGCCGAATACAGAGTTTCAATATGTTAAATCAGATGATACTTATAGAATCAATTGGCCTTGAAGGGTTAAGAATTTATCTGACAACACAGTTAAGTAAAATACATTTTTAAGAGAACTAATTTTATTCCATCATTTTCACTAGTTCTTTAAGTATTGTTTGTATAACTTTCATTTCATTGGCAATTTATGAAAAGTTTAACACTGATCTCAGTTGATGTAGGTAACAGACGGAGATCTCCGGGGCTGAAATAATATAGAAGTTTGCAGAAAATTTTGGAGGTCAGAAGGATGATCGTGTTGGCATACCGTGTCAGAGATTTTGATAGACAAAACAGTAAATTTTTGCTTCTGTCTCGCAGCCCCTGACGAGGCTTAAGTCCAGTGTATATTTTGTAAGGGCTTCTTGTAACTACGTCTGGAGTTAAGAGCAGGTAATGGAGTTTAGTTTATGAAAGGAGTGAATATTGTGTTTGTGTACGTAAATGTATTTACAATAATTTGTAACAGATTTTTTTCCCCGATGTTCTTGGAACTGGATAAAATTCAGTAATCTGGATGATGACTTAACCAGTTATTCTAAGGCGATCACATAAGGACTTGCCATAGATAAGGCGATTAGTTGCCGACTTCCCACAGCGTCGGCCAGGGTTCGAGCCAAGGTCAGGATTTGTAATGGACAAAGTGACACTGGGACAGGTTTTCTCCCAGTACTTCGGCTTCCCCTGCCAATTCTCATTCTACCAAATGCTCCACATTCATCTACCATCCGGGGCTGGTACAATAGGCCAGTTAGTGGCTGACGTACTAAGTGGACTCAGTTTCACCCCACCCCAAGAGACTAAAAACAAAAAACTGAACTAAGAAGCTCATACCGGAAGTCGATTGAAAGCAATGCATTTTCTTTATTGCTAGTGGGGTGGGACTAGGTCCCTTGTACTGTAGCAAATTCTGGACTATTGTACCAGCCCCAGATGATAGGTGAGGGTGATTGTGGAGCAATTGGTGGAATGAAGTTTGGCAGGGGAAACCTAAGTACTAGGAGAAAACCTGCCCCAGCGTCACTTTGTCCACCACAGATCCCACTTGACCACACCCGGAATCGAACCCTTGCCGCCTCATATACCACATATACCAGCCAAGCAAAGATATCTGCTGGTAAAGACAGCGGATCTGTGACTTGTTACTGACATAAAAATATCCCGCATAATTAATTGCTGCCTAAAAATATTTCTCTATTAACACAGGATTAAAGTTAATAAAGTTGAAAAGTTTTTGAGATTTATCATGCACATCTGTAGTAACATAAACTTAAACATACTTGAAAGGCAGGCAAATTAAGCCTGGATTTACTAAGTGTAAGTTTCTTGTGGCGCATAGGCACAGCTAGAAATACGACATTTGTTCCGAAGTTGTCACGAGTGTAACAGTGACAGACTATGATGGGCACGGTCATCTCGGGGTTTTACGCCATCTGGCCTGGTAGAAATTTACCTACGTTTCGGACTGCTTGATTGACATAATCTCGATTTTGAAAATGGAAGCAGTTCGTTCCTATTATTTTTATTGCTAGTGGGGTGAGACTAAGTCCCTTGTACTGCGGCCACTTCTGGCCTATTGTACCAGCCCCAGATGATAGGTGAGGGTGATTGTGGGGCAATTGGTGGAATGAAGATTAGATGCCTCAGCGCCATTTTGTTCACCACAAATCCCACTTGACCAGACCCGGGATGGAACCCGGGCCGCCGCGGTGGGAAGCCAGCGACTAACCGGTTGAGCTATGATGCGGCCAGTACGTGCCTCAGAAAAGCAAGTAAAATTTTACGAGACTACACGGCGTCACAGCCCAGAAGAGAGTTGTCTTCATATTTTCCTCTATGAGAAATTCGTTTCTCATAAATACCTTCATCTCAGTCTGTTATCCGGTGCGGAGTTATCCTGCAGTCAAATGGGAACCGCTTGCTGTTTGCCTCGATGCAATCGCTGCGCACGAACACGTTGACCATCCTGTATCATACTCAAAAATATTATGGCCATGTTCTTGAGCAGCTTCTCCAGTTATCATTTGTTGTCTGGTCTGTCTGACGTCAGAAGAACTATCTTTCTCAATAAATTATGCATCATCCGGAAAGCGATTATGAGGAAGGATAAGCCGATGTGTATTATATAATTCTACTGAAAATAAGTGTTTCTCAGCGATATAACTGAAGTTAATGTTATTGATCGAATGCACAAAGAGGTAATTTATGTCAACTTTTTTTTAGTGTCCTGTATCGTGTTATTTGTTAAGTAATATTCGTTTTTTGTCTATTAATTTTTGTTTATAATCCACTAGAACGACAGTTTTCACCATCTAAACGATTCATCACTGCAGTAATGAACGTTAGTTTGTGTTTCGTTGTTTCAGAGACGGCAGGCTTAGTTCGGTTGATATG